AACCTACCTCCCAGTATTCTCCATAAGTGGCCTCAGCCCACCTTCCACTCTGTATTTTATAGGAGTATGCCTATATTTGTCCTCAGCTCTCCCACGCACGTGGGCAGCCCTCCTCACTCATCTGGAATGTCCTGTCTTGCTTCCACTCAGACCCTCACAAGCCCACACAGGCCCCAGACCTAGGTTCACCCTCACCAGCTCCTTCCTGCTTTCCTGTGCCAGACAATTTCTCAGCTCTTGTTCCATGACCTGCACAGTTCCTCCTCCAGAAAGTCAAGAAGAAGAGCTAGCTATATTGGAACAGCCCCCACTGTGGCCTGGCTAGCAGTGGGAATTTACGTCAAAATTTCCATCTAAAATTACACTCACATCTGTACCCAGTGCTAGGCTCACACAGGAGCTCCAATTTGTTATTGTGATGTAACTGAGAAGCATTGGGTCTCTTTCTCCTCCTCCTCCCCGCTTCAGGACACACAGCTCCTAAAACCCTTGGACTCTGTAGAGTGATCTGCAAGTCTTTCATATGCTAGTAAAATGGTGGGGCTAGATAGGCTCAGGATGGGTCTGATCCCAACTAAGATAGAAGTAGAAAGTTTGAACTTTCAGTCCACTCCATTCTCCTAAGAGGTAAAGGGGAATGAAGGGTGAGATACCGGCCAATGGGACACGTGCATAAAAGACAGGAAGAGCTTCTAGATAGCTGAGAACATGGAGGTTCCTGGAATAAATATGCCCAGAAAGGAGATGAAAGGTGGCACCTTTTCCATGACATCAACCTTGCCCTGTGCAACTATCTCTTCCAAGGGTTGTCCTCAGTAATAGCCTTTACAATAAAGAAGTAAACTAAAATCTTTCCTTGAGTTCTGTGAGCTGTCTTAGCAAATTAATCAAATCCAAGGAAGGAATGGTGTAAGCCCTGACTGATAGCCAGTTGGTCAGAAGCATGGGCCATCCCTTCGGACTGATATCTGAAGTGGGGACAGTCTCATAGGACTGGGCCTTCCACCTGTGGGAACTGACACCATTTCTGTGTAGATATGTCACAAATAAATTGAGTTGTAGGATATTCAGCTGGTACATGGAAATAATACCCAGACATTTGATGAGGTATTCTGTGCTATGTTGTATGTGACAGCCTTTAGGCCAACTTGGTGTTTTTTCCCAATCTTAAAAATACTCTTAACATATTCATTTCTCAACTTTCTCACAACTGTAGGTCTGAGCACTTGAGCCAAGAGCAGGCCTCTGAAATTTATTAGAGCTGCTTGCCTTTACAGTCTCCAAACTGCTGGAGCCAAGGAGTTTAGACTTCTAGCTATCCCAACAAGGGCCTAAAAATAGGGACTCTGCTGTGTGGCTGTCTGCTCATGACCTCCAGAAGGGCATGTTCACTAGGGGAACTATCCTACCCCAGGGAGGAGAGGAACTCAACCACAGAGGACATCTCCTGGTTTTTCTTCATCACTAGCACAACACAGCACAACCTAGAAACCCTCTCCTCTCATTCTCCCCTGCAGGCACATTCCAAGGTCTGAGGCCTCCCAGATCAGAATGGCCCAAAGGCAGGCAGTACAGCCTTGCAGTGGAGACTGCTAGCCTCAGGCTGCTTGCACCGGTAGCAGCCTGACACAGTGCTCTGCAGGCCTGGTATGCTACCGCTACAGGGTGTTTTATAGCTTTAGGGTGTCCCATAGCTGCAGGGTATCCTATAGCTATCTGTGTGTCTCACATAGCTGCAGCCAGTACTCCAATGACTTCTGCAGCTCATCTGGTTTCAAAGACTTTTTGATCATGTCAAATCAATACAGGGTGATACCATACTCTGTAATTCCAACATGTCTTCCAGAGCCTCAGGAAGGAAAAAGGCTGAGATAGCTGGCTGTGGCCATTTTATAGGGATGAAAATTCTAGATGAAACTGCTATCGACAGTAGATGAGATCTCCCCCCCAGAGAAGTTTCTGTCAGTGAACCAGGACCAACACCTAAAGTTTGTCATTAGTATAAAATCAGAATGCACGAACAGTACTTAGCACAGCAGCTGGCATATAATAAAAGCATAAATGAGCTTGAAAACAGCAGCTGCATTTGTGACACTGGGAAGTTTTGATCCCCTAAGGCTTCCTCTGCCCCTTAATAACAGGGGAATCCCTGAGGTTCAGAGTAGAGGTCTCCTCTGAATCTGACCCATAGCACTTAAGGTCCTGGACCCTCAGTGGTTCCCAAGGATAGCTGACTCCATGGGACCACCATCGGGCAAGCTGGGTCCCCTCCACTCCAATGTCATTTCATAAGCTTGTTGCATTATTATGTTGCAGAGCAGTAACAATCATGAGCATAATTAAGTACATGTTGAGTTAACTTGCTTGTGATGGTTATTTGCTTGCAACATTCAACCACATAGATTCTAAGCTTAAGTGAATGTGACACAACAATTTCTCCCCCAAACCCTGAGAAATTCTGCAGAATTCACTGCCCCAAGAAGGCCCTGCCAGTGGCTGGCCATAGCCTTAGAGCACTCCTCTGCCCACTTAGGGGTGGTGGGACCACTCTAATGCAGGACTCTAGCCTCAAATGGATCTCCCAGGGCATGCTTTACTCACAGATCTCTTGAGAAGTTTAGCTCTATGGAAGTAGCGCCCAAAAGTCATAGGAGCCCTACAGGGTTCTGGGGCATCGTGGCATGGCTGTTACTTGAATCTGCCTATGTTCTCTGGACCTTCTTCTGGGTGTCTATCTAGCAGGGACCTGGCCCTCCTGCCAACCTTATGTCCTTCTGTGCTGGTCATAGGTAGGTATTTCAAAAACTAAGATATCTCTCCTCACTCCACATATACTCCCCTATCTCCCTTTTTCTCCCTCTCTCTCCCCCCTGCCTCTCTCTCTCTCTCTCTCACACACACACACATTCACACATCATATAGTACATGTGCGCATGCACACACACACACACACACACACACACACACACACTCACATATACACCTACTTAAACTCTTCAGAAGCAGCCCATGGTTTCAGATGGCTGGAAGGTTAGATCATAACCCCAAAGTCCCTGTCCTGAGGATTCTGCAGCAATGCTATCTCCTCACATGACTATTGGAAAGCCTCTTCCACCCTACTCGAGGTCCTCCTCTTTTTAAATGAGTGGTTTTTATTACTTATTACCCAACATGTAAGTCAGGCTCTGTCAACAGTGGCCTCTGATCAAAGGCTGCACCTTCCTGAAAAGCCTTTCCCCCAAGTGATGGAGTAGGTAGTGGGAGTGGGCAAAGTAACTTTGGGGCAAGGGTCCTGGAGGCACACAGCCTCTGCCCAGGCCTCCTCAGAGGGCTCCACAGAGCAGGAGGTGGAGAGAGGGCCAAATGGAGTGTCACTGAGGACCATGGTCCTTTCTGCAGTCAAATTCCTCCACACCTGCAGGGCCGTGATAAAAGGACAAGAAGCAATGAGAACAGTGGCTAAGGAGATAAGACAGGAGACCAGGTGAGAAGTAACTAGGGATGAAAGAGCCAGGCATTCTTTTCTCCACCAGACCCTTAGCCGAGCAGTAGCCCAATCACCTGACTCTGGGCAGCCCTGGCCTTGTTAAAGCAGCTGTGGGACTGGGGTTGCCATGGTCTGAATGTTTTTTTCCCTCAAATTCATATGATCATATTAGGAGGAGGGGCTGGGGAAGCAACTTGTACCTTCTTTTTTTTTTTTTTGTCAGTCGTGGGGCTTGAACTCTGGGATTGGGCGCTGTTCTTGTACTTGTCAGCTCAAGGCGAGCGCTCTACCGCTTGAGCCACAGCGCCACTTCTGGGTTTCTAGCGGTTTATTGGAGATAAGAGTCTCACGAACTTTCCTGCCTGGCTGGCTTTGAACCGCGATCTTCAGATCTCAGCCTCCTGAGTAGCTAGGATTACAGGCGTGAGCCACTGGCGCCCGGCTAATTACTTGTACCTTCATAAAAGGGACCCCAGAGAGTTTCCTTGCTCCTTTCCACCATGTGAAGACAAGGTGAGAAAGTACCCTCTGCATACCAAGAAACAGGCTCTCACCAGACAAGGAATCTCTCTAGATGTCAGCCTCCAGAACTGTGAGAAACACATTTCTACTGCTTGTAAACACCCAATGATTGTATTTTGTCACAGCAGCCTAAATGTACTAGAACAGAGGCCCTGCCCATGTTTTCTGGAGGGTAGGTCAAACTGAGTGGAATTTATGCAGGGAGCAGTTTGATCACAGAAAAGCAGCAATGTTGACCTCTGCTCTCAGCAGAAATCACAAGACCTTGCGGAGGCTGACATCACTGTGCAGCTGGGGAAATGGAGCCAGCTCCAGCCCCAGGGCCTCCTTCAGGCGTTTATACTAAGAGCTAAGAAAAGATGGAAGCTGAAGCTATGTGGGTACCTGGGGTGGCTCAGGCCCCAGGTGGGCCCCACTGTACCTTGAGTGTACTTCTCTTACCTTGTCTCGTTCAGGACACTGCCCAGGAAGGTAAGTGTCCCTCTTCCTATCCCTACACAGCCTGTCCAACTTCCGCCAACAGTGGTAGAGGGCCTAGGAGAAAGTCTATTGGAGTTACTGTCAGGTTGCAGGTGAAATCCTTGAGTGACTCCAGCACACAACTCTAATTAAGAAAAGAATATGTGGAGGAAAACTTTACATCCATTCTCTTGTGTTAACGACACAACAATTCTGTCATAACCAGACAGATTTTTTTCAACTTTCAAGATAAAGAGACAGAAGCCTGGGCCGAGGATGGAGCAGGTAGTTGTCAAGGCCCTCACACACACCTCAAAACCTGGTGGTTTTGCTCAAATAGCAGCAGCCTAGGGCACTGGGCTAACTCACTTTCTCCAGGGTTTCAGGGTGATGATCTACAGTGGCCATCAGCCTACCAGCATAGGGTTCACCTGTTTTGTAGTTTTTCAAGTTCTCCTATTGACCTGGTAAGGAATGAATGTGAGTATGAGGCAAAGAAGGAGGGAGAAAAAATGTGGCCCTGAGCCCTTACCTGTTCCGGTCTGAGTCCTGTAGGGAGTTTCCTGAGTCTAAGTCCATGTCCCCTGCTGATCGCTCTAGGGTACAGAAAGAGAGATCAAGTAACATCAGAAACTGGGCTTTCCGCTGGCACTTAATGACCATCAAGTAAAATGTGGGTGGCCATTTATTTTCCAGATAAACACAACACCTTGCCTGTGTCTCTGAGAAGTGCAGGCATAGGCTGTTATGATAACTGAAAGGGCCCCCAAGAGAAGAATGATGAATGAGTTCATGAAAGAAGGCTGTCTTTTGAGTTTGTCTAAACACTCACACCTCCCAGTACTGCCATTGTAGAACTCTGGCCCGGTGGGCCAGCTAATAGTAGGATGAAGAGAAGGGCTGTCTTCTGCTTGCCTGCCAGAGGGTGATGAGGGCCACAGAGGGAGAGAGTTCAGGGCAAGACTACAAACACCATTCTGGAAAAGTCTACAAAAAAAAGCAAAGGGAAGAAGTCTTGGAGCCTCTTCCCCAAAGTACAAGGAGCCACCTCCCACTGATCTGGAGGGATTAGTGTCTTGATCAGGCAGGCCTGTCTGTGAGGAGAGTAAAAAAAAAATTGCCAGTGCCAACAATAAAATGATACTCTGATTATTTTGGTGACAGCCAACTCTTTTCTTGCTCCCTACCATGAGTGCTTCCTTCCTTTCCCCTAGATCCTCTTCTGCCCAGATGGACTATAGTTAGCCTCACCTGATAGAGTTCTGTCCAAGGATGGAGTCCAGGCTGGGGTTACCACCTTGGAGAAACTCTGTCCAGAGACCTTGAGCATCTCCTGCAGCAGAAGACGGTTCTTCTCTACTTGGTCAGACAGGGACAAAGCATTATCCCCTGGGCCCAAAGCTCCCAGCTCTCCAGCTCTCCAGAGGGTCCCCTGTGGGACTGCCCTAGGGTTTAAGTCCTTCTCAGAGGTCAAACACGTGCTATCCAGGTCTCTCCCTGTAGCCAGATGGTTTTCAAGGAGATATGGCCTTTCTTTTGTCAGGCTGGGTACATGGGTGACTTTACAAGGACTAGACGCTTCTCGCTGACCTGGAGTAACTCTGTGGATGAGGCTGTCTTGCAAAGAGCTGGACCCTAGAAGCAGACTCCTCTCATGTTCACACAATATCCATGCTGCTTCTGGAGGCCACACGCTCTGACCATTCCAGCACTTAAGCCCAGGGTCAAGTGACTTGGGAGGCCCAAGTCCCCCATTCCTGGAGGGTTGCTCTTCATTGACACAGCGGTCCAGCTGCCCATCAGTGAGGTTCTCAGCATGGGGGACCAGCACAGCATCTGGCAGGGGAGAGCCTTCTGGAGGGCTCTGGACTCCTTTGGTCTTGACTTGTCGGCATTTGGATGTCTTAGGGCTTTTACCCTGTTTACTTGCTGTCATCTCCTTCAAAGCCCTCACTTTAGACTGCAGCACAGAGGGCTTTTGTAGCTCCTGTGTTCTGGGGGGCTGAGGAGTCATCCAGTTGGGTGTTCTGGCTTCCTGAGGGCATGGCCAGGGTCTTGGGAGGGCTCTATTAGCCAGTTGTGGTACAGCGGATGTTACCTGCATGGGGCTGGCTGTTCTGTCCCAAGTCTTGGATTCTCTGGAAGAGAAAACAGACAAAGTTCCTGAGACCCCAGCACCTGCACTCAGGTGGCTCTAGCAACTTGCTTGGTTCCCAAAATACCTTGGTGTGGAACCATGCCCAGATGACCATAACCTGGAGACAGCAGTCTTCTAACATGAATGCAACTTAGAGAAGTCCTAATCATAGAGCAGTACAAATATGTTATTATTTTATTTATTCTTCTAAGTCTCAGTAGTGTTCTATCCTCCTATCTCCGCTTTATGGATAAGCAAAATTATTTTCAAACATCAACCTGATGTCTGTGGGGACAAGAGTGAGAGTTAGGATGGTTCTCCAATTCCTGGCCTCTTCCTTTGCTGGCCACTGCTGGGAGGAGGATGTCAACATCTGCTAATGGCTATCATGCTGTCCCTTGTGGAGGAGGGAACTTAGGAAGGGATCAGGCCAATTCTGTCCCTCCAGTGAAAGGTGTAACCCCCCCCCAACCTCACCAGGCCCTGGGTATATAAGCCTTAGAACTCAGCATGGGGTTGTACTCAAAGGGAGCTTACAACCAATCACCAAGTCCTATCAGCTCTCTGCCAGGCAGTCCTTTCACATGCTTTCAATCATTCTCAAATAATCCTGACACAACTCTGTCAAGAGTGGCATTATTATCATCACTTTTGCAGATGGAAAAACTAAGTTAACTAAGAGATTGTGTCACAGATGCTAAGGAGAGGCCCGGTGTGGAGTAAAAGGTTTATAATAAACCCAGGGCTCTTGCAAAACACTTGCCATCCCTCAGTCCCACCACCTCTCTTGGAAGATGGGACTGCTTAGTCCACAGCACCACAGAGCTCCTTCAGTAGCACAGCTGATATTAATGGCTTTGTGGGAGGAGGAAAAGCATGGCCTTTTATTCACCGAAGTGTTGCCTGTATACCTACATGCTAGTGTTTTTCTTTTTTCTTATGCCAGCACTGAGGCTTGAACCAGGGCCTGGGCACTGTGCCGTAGCTTTTTCACTCAACATGGACTCTTCACCACTTGAACAGCACCTCCACTTCCAGCTTTTTGGTAGTTAACTGGAGATAAGAATCTCATGGATTTTTCTTCCCCGAGCTTTGAACTGTGAGCTCAGCTTTCAGTCTCCTGAGTAGCTAGGCACAGGGCTCCAGTGTCTTAATACTCTGTTCTCAAAGAAAAGGCTACTTAACATCACACAGCTAGAAATGTCTCTCTCCAAGTAAACTCAGTGTATGAAATCTATATACATATTAACTACAAGTTAGGAATTTATTATTCCCTTCACACACTGACATAAAGATTCACCATAAACTGTTCTGAAATGCCAAGTTCCCTCTACAGTTGTTTGTTACAGCTCAATTTATACATAGTGTTTCAGGATAAAGCAAAACACACAGATAATACAAAAAAGTTTAAGAACTATCTTTAGGGTAGAAATCTTGTCCTCTCTCAGTTAGCCTAGAATGTGCTGGGTTTCTCTTTGCTGTCCAGCTACCTCTCCCTCTCTTCCAAGGTCCCAAACAGAAAACAGGGTTAGGATGTAATAGGAGCCCTTTCTGGGATGGCCAAACCCAGGGACAGCGTTCCAGAGGACCCCTGTCGTGAGACCTTAAAGAATGAGATGGTCCCCTTAAGGTCCCTGGGCAGTCTTCCCGGAAGACAGTTCTGATGGGCGCCGTCTGCTCCCATGACCCAGGCTGTAACTCAGAGTCGGAATGAAGATGGACGTGAAGGGCGGGCCTCCTCCTCCTTCCCGCTCGGTGACCCGAGGAGGTCTCAGGTCCCCAGCAGCCAGCCGAGGTTCCTCCCTCCACCCGGTACCGCTGCATACTCACGGAGGGCTGTGGCGGGCAGCTTCGGCCTCCATCCCCTCCATCCCTCCGAGAGGTGAGGCCGTCCTCTACCCTCTCCCTCCCAGGCCTGCAGCAGACTTCGGGGAGGGACTTCCAGCCCGGGATCCGGGCGGGTGGGAGTGAGGCCCGTAGGCCTCGCCCCTTGTGGCCTGCCCGACTCCTCGGGGTCGGGGTCTGGGGAGAGCGAGGTGCGCGGCTCGCTGCGAGAGCGCACAGCGTTGCCCAGAAGGGGAGAGCGCTGCCCGGGCGCCCTCCCGGGCCACCGCAGAGGAGTGGCGGAGCGAGAGGAGGGGCAGCGGAAGGGGCTGGAGGAACCGGGACCTCAGCCTCCCCACCCCCAGCCTCCGCGAGCCGATCCTCCCCGACCGCCCGGGGAACAACCTAGGCACCGGCCCAGAGTTTGCGCCCAGCCCGCTCAGCCTGCCCTGCGGCCCCGGGAATGGAGCGCAGCTGACCTTCTGAGTTAGGCAGAAGTTAAGACCGCCCTTTGTTTACACTGCCTTCCCCGAGGAGTCTAGAGATTTCTTGGTGGGGCTGTCCCCCGGGTCTCCTCCGAGCCCAGGTCCTTGGCTTCTGTGTTGTGGTGGGGCCTAGGGTCACCCTGAGTGGACAAGAGTCCCCTCATCCTGCCTGCCTGTGTTTCAGGATCCCCGGAGCTTAAGCTATCGGCTCCCCCCACCCCACGCCTCCCACCACACTGTGGTTCAAACCAACAGAGCTGTCTTTACCCACCTGACATGTGGCCAAGCCTATTTCCAAACCTATCTTCTCCCCCAAAGACAAGAGACGAGAGGAGCCAGAACATTCCAGGCATCTCTGCTTGTTCTTCTTTCCTTCTGCAAGTGAGCTACTATAAAGCAAAGGGTACTTGTGCTTGGTTGCACCAAGATCATTCTCCAGATGGCCAGGTTAGCTACTGAAAGGGCTCTGTGTGGTGCATGGCGAGAAAGAAGCTTCCAGAAAGGCTTGGCTTCCCTTGAGTAAACAGGCTTGCCCTGCAGAAGGTGTGGAGGGGGGCATCTTGGCAGATAACCACACCCAGGTCTGAGAACTTGAAAACTGCCAGTAGCTTGACCTGAGATTATCCAGGCAAGCCTGGTGTTAGGGAACAGATCCAAAGTCACACAGCTCTGGGGACGGGTGGTCTATAGAGTCTGGGTACTTTCCTTTATGTGCCCAAAGCAAGTAGTTCCAAAAGCAGTACTGTTAATCAATACTGCCATATCACCATGGAGGAACAGTACCATCCGTGGCAGGAGGGCAAGCACCAGGTGCTGGGCTGCGTACTCTACCTTCCTTATCTCACTGCATTTCACAAGATGGGCACTGTGATCTTGTTCCTACAGATAAGGAAGCTGAATTTAGGTTAGCATCCCATAACAAAGCCCCTCGCCTTCTGGACAGCACACTTCCCCGGCATCTGCATAGTCTACAAGAAAGATCTAGGTAAGTTTTATCATTGTTTGTTTTAAATAGAATAATTTGTGGAAAAAACATGAAGTACTGAGATACTCAAAATATCAGTCTAGCCCTTCCTTTCTGGATCCAACTTCTCCTCTTCTACAAAATTCTGAAAACCAAGAAAGGATCCTTCCTGTCCCCCAGGGGCAAACATTAGTCCTATGGACTTGCGGCAGCTGGTGGACTTCCCATGAGCCAAGGCACCTCGTATCAGATCTTAAATCTTTACAACCCAGACATATAGGAACCATGTTGCTTCACTTTAGGGTAAGGAAATCTGGATTACAGAGAGGTTAAATGACTGGCCTAAGGCCACATTGCTAGCACAGCTAGACTTTGAATCAAATTCTGCCTGGCTCCAACGTTCTGCCTTCCTTTTCAGAAATGTCTCTGAACTCAGATTTCTCCATGACTCCAGAGTCCTCTCTTCCCCAGAAGTTAATGATCTGTAAGGCAGGTTTCTGAAAATTCCAGCAAAGGTTTAATGTTTAAACCTCCAAAGGTCCCTCCCCACATCTTATGAGATGCAAATAATCACCTTCAGCTTACTCATTAAATCTGTTACTTTGTGAGATGGGAGATGAGGTGCCCTATTTTCCTGGAGGCTTTTAAAGCTACTGGTTTGGGGCTGGGAAGGTGGCTCAGTGGTAGAGCGCTTGCCTTGCATGCCAGAGGCCCTGGGTTCGATTCCTCAGCACCACATAACCAAAAAGAAAAAAAGCCAGAAGTGGTGCTGTGGCTCAAGTGGTAGAGCGCTAGCCTTGAGCTGAAGAGCTGAGGGACAGCGCCCAGGCCCAGAGTTCAGGCCCTACAACTGGACCCCCCCCCAAAATAAAACTACTGGTTTGACACACCAACATGTAAATATTTAAGAAGGAACTTAGCATAAATTATAACTATCTTGACACCTACACCTCAGAGGGACCGACTGCTATTTTGTTCCACAGATATTTGATGTCAGGGATGGGAAATGTGTGTATGTGTGTGTTTGAACTCAGAGCCTTGCGTTCTTGCTTGGCCTTTTAAGCTCAAATCTGGTGCTCTATCACTTGAGCCATACCTCCACTTCCTTGGGGAATAAAATTTAATATGTAGGCCCTGCCCCTAACGATTCTGACCAAAGTTGAATAGGGCTTAGCAGACACATAAACCTGGTATGTTTCCTATTGACCTGGTAGCCTAGGGAGGTGTACCTTGGTCATAGGAAGAGCTGAGTTGAGGAGTGTGTTGGATAAGAAGATTCAGAGGGGGATGGGAGGCATTTCAGGCGGAGATTAGCATCTACACTGCAAGGAGGAGCCTCATCTACACAGCATGGAGAAGCTGCCTTGTGCAACTGAAACCCATAAAGTTCAGGTGAGGGCAGAGGCGGCAGCAGGGATGCTGTGGGTCTGGTGGAGAGCCTCAGGGGCCTGTTGGAGGGCTTGGACTCCATCTTTGAGGAGAAAGCCCCTGGTGGGTGGCCTTCCCTACAGCCTGGTACATTTCTGGGCTAGAATATTTTATCTAGTTTATTACTATGTTTTAGGCAAAAATCTAGGAGGGAAACAAATATGTGGTAGTGATTGTGTAGTCTCCTCCTCCATTTGAACAAACCAAGGAACCCCATCATTCCCAGAAGCTTCTTTTGAGTTTCCCTGGATGAAGCACAACCCCTCTCTCCCAGCTTCTCTACTGGGCCCTGAACCCCCTGAGTAGGATATGAAATTGGGTTTCACATAGGATGAACTTGAGAGTTCACATGAGATGAGACAAGAGGGTGGGGGGAGATACCTTTATCAGGTCAGCACAGACCACTGGCACTCATCTAACCCAAACCCCACCTTTCCCTGTAGCTTCTGTCTTGATCATAGGCTCAAGGTGAAGCAAGGAGGCAGCTGACCCAACAGTAACTCCAGAAGTGATTCACAGCCCCAAGGCCTTCCCTCTGCCCTTCATTTTCCTTGTGGCTGAGTAGTAAGAGATGTTGGTCCCATCACTGCCAGGGCTTTGTCCCTGGGCTTGCCCTACCCCCCTCCCTGGGACTGAATGCCAGGCCTGAAGGGATCCTTGAGATGCTGGCAACAGGCCAATTTCAAGGTCCTCCCATGTGGAGACTCTTATGCCTTAAGATGCGGGAGGGTCCAGGAATCTGTTTCCTAACAAGCTTGCCAGGTGGTTTGAGGCAGGCAGTTTGGAAACCACAGGTTCCCCAGTTCAGAAACTCCTTCCTGAGATGCCTGGACCTTATTGACTCATCTCTTATGACCACTGACAGCTGCACTGCATGCATTGTATCATACCTACTTGTTTCTGGCTCCTTGACTGGTGATTCTGGTTTATTATCACCATGGTCCAGGACATGAGAAACCCTCCTTCTCTCCATACACCTGAGCATCCTCTATCTACTGCATCATAATCTATTCATATGGTGAAACATTCACTGCTAATGTGATGGGGTTAGGAATGGGGTCATAGGATATAACTGGGTCATGAGAAGGGCCTCCCCTCCATGATGGTGGTAGTGGCTTTGTCAGAAGAGACACCACAGAGCTCGCTCTCTCTTCCAGAAGCCCCATTCTAGCTGTGAAGGCAGAGCAGGAAGGTTGCTGCCTTCAAGCCAGGAAGAACTCTGACTACCTTGACTGCCTGGAACACTATCTTGAAGTTCAGCCTCCTGAACTGTGAAAAAGGAATGTGTGCTGGTAAACCCCTCTCAGCCTGTGGTATTTTTTTGTAATGGCCATTTGAGCTGAGAAAAACATGTCCCTGTCCCAACAAGGCCTGTCCTCCCAGAGCTTCAGTACTCAGTTCTCATGCGCCCTTCTCAGGGATGTCAGCCATCATCCCAGCCAGCCTTCATAGAACACTTGTCGCACACAGTTGTCCATGCCAGATGCCACTGTCCCCTATATACCAGAGGCTTCTTGAAAGCAGCACTACATCTGAGCCTCACTGTGTCTCTGGCTGCTAACTTGTGCTAGGTGCACAAAAGGTATTGAGCAAATGTCAGATGGATCAATGAAAGAAAAAGTCCCCAATGGGTAAGGATGGGACTTTACCAAACTACTAACTCCAAAGGTTTTGGTTTAGCTACTCAGGCCATGTGAGAAAGGCAGTCTATGGCAGAGCTGGGGCTAGTACTAGGTATCCCGACTAACCCCAACATATAACCAGATGAACACCAAGATTTCCCACTCCTGCTCCTCTTCCTTTTCCCCCAAAATATTACTGATCATGGATGGTGATAAGAGCCACAAGTTAGCAGCTGCTAGCTCTGATCCTGGAAATTCAGAGGTAAAACAGGTGTCAGATACAAGAAAGGGAGCAGGGTGGGGTGGGGGAGCAAAGAGAACACAGAGAGAGGTGAGGTCAGCAACTTGACAAGTGGGCATCTTCACTCAACAGCTACTGTTTAACTGTTACCTCTAACTATACCTTATACCTTACAACACACCCAGTGTCCACAGGGCTATCCCATCCCACAGGGGCTGGATTCTGCAAAAACCCAAGGAGAACAGAACTGTAGTTCTTACCTGCTCAGGGCTGGCTTGCTATGCTTGCCAGGCTGCCAGGCAGGGATCCCACTGGAGCGCAGCACAGGACCTACCCTGGGGATTTTAGCTCCATGACTTTCATGCTGCTCAACCTGATGGACAATGTCTGCCAGGCATCTGTTCCTATAGGGGACTTTTCATATTATAATCCTAATCACAGGGAAATGCCTAGGATGAGGAAAACATTTTAATACTCTCCCTCTTATCCTACCAGCTGGCAATATGAGGAGAGGGTG